ATGATTGGTGACCTTGATAATATTTTATCCGCTGTTTGTCCTGTTTCTGATGATGTGATATGCATGGGAGACTTCAACGTTGACCTTTTCAAACTACCCAATCCCCTACTCAACTGCTTTGAATGTTATAATTTGGAACAAATTCTTAATGAGCCTACTAGAATCACCAACGTTTCTAGCACGCTCATTGACCCAATTTTCGTTAGTAATAATAATCATGTTATAAGATCTGGTACTTTATCATCCCAAGGCATTTCAGATCACATACTAGTTTACGTTGAATATTTACTAAAGAAATTCAAAATAGAACCCAAATTTGTAACATACCTTTGTTTTGACAATTATACTTTGCATACTTTTTTCAGATTTATACCAGTTGCTGTGGTTCGAAATTATAAGTGAAAATGATATTGATAATAAATTGTACCATTTCAATTAATTTTTAATCTCTACTTTTGACAGATATGCCCCTCTTAAAAAAAACTAAATCTGTTAATGATCGTATGAGGGATGAATAATTGAGAAATTATACCTTGTCAATAGTTAGAACTGAAAAAAGGACATATTTCAAGTCTGTCTGTTCTGAAAAAATACCACGCAAAACCTGGAATGCTCTCTCTAACCTCAATGTTCGTTCAAAAAAAAAGTTCATTACTCAATCACCTCTCTTCTTGAACAGTCCTCAAGTGAAAGTTTGAAGAACGTGGAAATGTTTTTTGGTTTTAACTAGATGGCGGTGAGCGCGGAGGTGGGAAAGTTAGTCATTTAACGTTTAAAGCACCCATCATCTTAGACAACAGATGAAAAATTCGGAACTACCTGATGTTTTGTCAGTAAAATCCCTTCTATTGAATGGACTGTAACGTTTGACAACATATTTTCCCCCTATTCACTGCGAAAACTTACCGTATGCTCAAAAAACTTGAGTAAACTCATAGATTTTCCACACGAAAGAATTTCTGTTTTCAAATCTACAAGAAAATCTGGAACAATGTCTTCCCTCAAACTAAAACTTCTGGTCCAATAAGTACGCCCTCTAGTTATGACGAATTTCGGATTTGGTTTGATAAAAAACTCTCCGTACGGATCGTGAATGACTCCGTCAAGGATCCACTGTTTCAAGAAACGACTGAAACATAACAAAATGCAGCGAACAATCCGGAAAAATACTTTCCGTATTACCTGAAATAAACCTGGCAGCAAGGATATAAGATTGAGTAGAGAACGCTGATGATTTTCTGATCAGTCAAGCTCAGTACCTTCTGATAAAGATAGTTGAGGAGAGCTACGCCGTGCGGGATCTCTTCCATTTTTGTGTAAGGTCCAACTTTGCAGATCGATGTTAAAGTAGAAATTTGCAGTTGTAATTGATGCGTTTTCTCATGGAACTCCAAGAAATTCATGGAATCGGGGATATTGAAAGTGGCCGTTTGGTAAAATTTGAGATAACGATTGATATTTTCGCAAAATTCCTAGAATAAATTTCGGCCCTGTAAGAATCACAACTTTCTGTGATATTTCTTTAGCATTATGGCAAGACTTTATGATATTGAGTTTATAGATAAAGAAAACAACATGACTCCACTGATTTCCACCCCGAGATAGTCCCTATAGGAGGTAAAAGACACGAATTCAAGAATGAAGCGTGAAAAAACACGCTAGAAGACACGGTCAAAATGATACACGATAGTCGCTGCGTAGAAGAGTTCGTCAGAATACAGCACTAGAACAATAATCACTTCGTTTCTAGCAGGTAGGCACCTACTTATCGCTCCGAACGCTAATCGTCGACTGACTGAGTGTTGAGAAGCGATCGTCGCTTTTATAGTCCTAGCCTCATCTAGAACAATCCCAAAAATACTCGAGTCGGCCTGTTTAATAAATAAAAAGAAAATAGTAATACAAAAAATGCCGTGTAAACAATCTCGACTTGATATTTTGAAGTTAGAAATCGCCTGTTCACAACTATAGTCTCTAATTTCAGAGGCGGCTTTTATCAAAGATATTGCGCGCTCACAAGTAGATATCGGCGGTGACGGCATAGTAAAATTAAACGGTACGTTCACCAGAATGGTTTGCATCGGATTTTTAGGAGTAGCCGAACGCCGCCCTTCTACAAGGCAGCGGTAGCTTTGTCTCGAGTAGCGGTAGCTTTGTCTCGAGCAGCGGTAGCTTTGTCTCGAGCGGCGTCCCGTTTGTGTCGTCTTAACAAAGTATGCCAATCATTTTATTGAACAAAGTATACTGTGGTGGGTGTTCACTGAGACCCGCTGCGCCTTGTGATTCGTGATATCTGCGTCAAAATGGACGACCAGAGGAGGCTTTGTATTTGTTTCTAATTTCTTGCGGAACCCCTAGCGGTATCGCGCAACCCTAGAGTTCCGCGGAATGCACTTGAAGTATGGCTGCTGTAGATGAAACTTGGATACCTACATCATTATACTCCCGAAACAAAAATACAGTTCAAACAGTGGACTGCAAAGGGGGAACCGGCTCCAAAAAAGCAAGAACTGTTTTTTCGGCTGGGAAAGTGACGGCGACTGTTTTTGGGATAGCCATGGAGTTATTTTAATCGATAATCTTCAAAAAGAAAAAATATAACACAAGCATACTACATATCATTACTTGATACAATGAACTCATTGTATTAGTTTGAAAATTTCCTTATTGCAGTAACGTTAGTTACAAATAAAAGTGGTAAAAAACATAGAAGGTTTTATTTCTCATCGATTTACCTTTAAAACTTTTAATCACCAACCAAATTCACTTCAAGAAATGCTATCAAAATATACATAACATACCTAATAAGTACTTCAAGTCCCTGATGAAACACCTTCTCGATACCATTTTGGAAGTGAAGACTGAACCATCTTTGAACAATTTATACATATACAACGACTCCAAATTCTCAACCCACAATGAGGATAACGCCCCAAGTTCCGATAAAAATGGATTTTCTTTGTCCGGCTCTGGGTACCCATAATTCTCCCAATTTTTTCGATCACAATACTTGAGCTTGGAAGCTAGCTCCCAAATATTATCATCTAAGCCTAAGGAAGGTGAATGGTACCCTTCGTCCTTGAATAAATCAGTGAACTTGTATTCAAGTGATAAGCTGGGTTGAAGAGGTCCTTTCTCGGAAATAACTGATTTCTTTCTGAGACTGGTAGAACTCGCAGTTAATTTTTCTTCTAGTGAAAATCTGGACTGAGATTCTTTGATCTCGTGAACCTTTGACCCACAAGTTATTAATGTAGAACTAGCATCGGAGAGATTTTCAGATTCAGTGCAATAAGATTCAGGAAGCTTGAAGAGGTTATTGAAATTTTCGAATTCTTCTAAAGACGGCAAGGATGAAAGATCCTGAAAATTTGAAGATGATATTCGAAGCTTTTATACCACGCAGCGGTAACAGCAAAGTATTAGCTTACTGACGGGCAAACATCAAAATCGTTTGGTCGTACATTGAAATAAAAAAAGTGAATCAATTATATCTTTGAGACTAACTTTTAGCTGAAACGTTTTTTAATTCAATCATTACCCCCAAAAATTCAGAACTAGGTCTGTTTCCAATCATCTTGTCTGCATCCTTTGTTATTAATGATCGAACGTAACTAGATATTTATTAAATGCATCCCTGACTATCATCGTTTCCAACATAACAAACACATCTAATTGTCCGTAAATTTGCATATGAGCTTTCAGTTGGTTTGTTTTCCCTAGAAAAATGAAAATTTCATGTCACAGTACATTCTCTGGCGGAAATTAATAAAAAGTAGCTGTCCTATTTATTCTTACTTTACTTATTTAAAGTAAATCAAAAATTTTCTACATCAATTATAAAAATAGTTCAAGGCACACCACGTCCTTGTAAATTAGCCATTTCACAAACAAATTTCCGATATTCTAAAAAATAGTTTAGCATTATTAAAACACGTTTGATAACATTGTTTGAAAATGATTTTTACAAAGGCGTTAATGTTGGTTTTAGTAACATCGATTGTTAGAAAATATTCCTTTAAGCTAGATTATGTTACCATAGTCTAGTACACTTTCATCTAATGATCAATCCAACATGATGTAGGTTCAATCTTTGAATTTTCTCGTTACTGGTCCATATCAGTTTCAACTAAACATATATTTGTAGTAAGACAGAGGATTGAATCACTCTCTTATGCCACTGTAATTATCATGATAATTATTCAGCCAGTATAGTTAAAAAAAGTGACTTTTTCTAAATAAATAAGCAAATCTTTGGTGTTACTGCTACATGTTTCATATCATTGTCATGAGTAATCATTACCAGCGACTTTTTATTTTTTGTAGGTACATTCCTTAAACTGTATAAAAAAGTAATGATACTCCTGAAATCTTCAAAGTTTGATTCAAAACTGTCCATACAAGTACTCAATTCTTCAGCATGTTCTGTCAAGTTATATTCATGAGCAAGGTTGAATTGCCAACATAATAAGTTACAATAAGGATCATCAGTGCCTTTATTGTCTTGGAATTCTGAAAAATCAGTTTTGACAATGAGTATGTTTGCAAAATGGGTCAATTGTTTACTTTTTTTGAATACAGGGATTCTCTTTCCTAGTAGAATTTCGTAGCATTTTGATCTGGATGATTTAATTTCTTGTGGGTCGGTTGAGAATTTCTCACATAGACTCGTTATTAAATTGAAAACACTATCAGCATTTTCATCATTATCCATAATTTGAAATTTGTTGACTGACCCATACATAACCTCTCACATATCAATAACAAATAAACAACGAAAAAAACCACTGTTGCCACAATCACATTTTAGTTCTGTGAAGAGTACACAGATACTCAATTTACATTTTCTATATGGGGCAAGTTTTTAAAATCAACTGTTGGTACACCCGTCTACACCGGTAACTCCATCGAATTGTCGACAATGTGTTTGTATATCCAACGATGAAAATAATCGATATACATCAAATTCATGACGATGAAAATCCGATGGATTTTTAAGTGCCTATTGAAATATTAGAACTGAATCGAACATTAAAATAAAAATGAAGTCCTGTCAGCTGCATTTTATAAATTTTTGTCGTTTTTTGTGCTCAACGTTTGCAAAAGTATTTCATTTCGCCTAATCATCAGATTTTCACGTCTACCAAAATCGCACCAGAACACCACTATCACAATGTTACGACTACACGACTAAAAACACAACAAACCCCAAAACAATAAATGAAAGCATAATATGATTCATATTCAGTTGTAAGACGTAGCTGTTTACCATTTGATTTCACCATTTATTGAATGCACTAGCGCTCTAATCGGTGGGCTTTTTTTATTCCGTACAAATAAAACGCATCTGAAATCTTTGTCGAGTGGAATTACAACTGTAGGTGTTTTCTGGCGTTCAATCGTATTCGAGCGTGTATTTAAAAACGATTCGTAGTGATGTCATTAATAATGAGATTCGCCAGAATGGAATGATTTAATTTGTCAGATGTCAAAAATCAACAATAGTATCAAACTTTACAATTTTCGCCAACTTCAATTAGAATCGGATTCGTGCAAATGATACTTTCCCAGCTTTATTTTGTACATATTTACAAACTTTTTGATAAAACGTTTTCACGTCTTCGTAAACTGTAACAATCACGTGACGTGAAGTTAACGTCAGAACGAATGTATTAAAATCACAGACCGATATATTTTGAATTTTTGAATACATGAGCGTCAGAAAACGCCTTTTAATTTGGTTTTTGGCGCTAAATTTGAATCGATGAAATTCAAAATAAATCCGATAAATCAGTTTTTTCAGGAGTGGATGTTGTTATTTTGGAAATCAGATTGTGAAAAAAATTGGTATGGGGTGTGAGTATTCAATTTAACTTTCATATGCCAACACAATATGAATAAAATAAACGATTAAAAGTAGGTAAACAAGAAAAATAGATTATTTTTGAGGTACGTTCCAGTTTTTTGGGAAATACTTCTCAAATACTGATAATTTTTCGAATCAAAATTCAGAACTATATTGAAATGACACTTGGCTAAATAGGTTGGTCAATAATTATAATTTAGCGAGACAAATAACTATATCTTCCAAATTATTTTCCTTCTAAAAATGTAAAGGTCCTTCTTTGCACGGAATTGAAAATTAAAGAATGAACTAACTTAAAAAATTCAAGTCTTATTTGGTAGATAAGCAATGCTCAACTTTATAATGCTGAATTGACAATAATCAAAAAATTTTCAATCCAATTTCGAATTTTCTGGAGCTTTATTTCATCACGTAGAACATTTTTCAAGAGAAATTCAACTAGCATTTCATATTTGTACCTTGAAATTGAGACTCGATAATGTTTCAAGTCAATAATACGATTGGTTTCAGGATATAAATAATGAATATGTATGCCATTATATAAAAGATAAATAAATCAAGATTAGAATGCATATATTTCTTAAATCAATAGTTTTTTATAATATATTTCTCCTAGGAAATAATAAATAAGTGATAGAAAGCTAAATAGGTACAGACCGTTTATTTAAGCGGATCTCACTATATCGCTATCTCGGAAACGGTAAGACCTACAAGTGCTTTTTTCATATCGAGAAACTAGAGAAACTAGAATTGTCAAATTTCATTTTATGGCACTACCGCCCCCAATTCGAATGACATAAATAAACAAAACTTTCAATACTGTTTCATATTTGTTATAATCTGACATGAACCAATTTGCAATGCGACGTTTCGTCCATTAGATTTCACCATCAACTTTATTTTTAAAATATGGACCTCTCGTTTTTTTCATCGATTTTTGTAGCCACTGTTGTAACACATTCATCTACAGTGTCATCCCCAAAGTATGCTCCATATGGTAAACTTATTTATTAAGGGTTATTCGACAAGAATTTATTCTTGATAAAAGTTCGTGCATCCCCTAAAACTAAACACACGTAATATACGAGGAGCCTTCAAATATTTGATTTTGTGATAAGAGTAAAGTACTCTTATTTTGAAAAATCTCGGGAAATGTTATTTAGAAAAGTTGTTTAGCATTGAAAAATACATATTGATTTGAAGTCATGGCCATCTAAG